TTCCCTCTCCTCTCAGTGCCGCCTTGACCTTTCAGGGAATTCCGTCGTAGGACTCCCCGTTTCCAGCTCTGCCCTCCAAACTATCTGCCTCGCCTGCCGCGCGCACCGCACGAGGACCCTGGGAGGCCTCGCAGGACTCTCGGGCACATCCTCGTCCTCCTCCTCCTCCTCCTCCTCCTCCTCCTCCTCCTCCTCCTCCTCCTCCTATCCTCCCCTCCTCCTCCTCCTCCTCCTCCTCCTCCTCTCCTCCTCCTCTTCCTCTCCCTCCTCCTCCTCCTCCTCCTCCTCCTCCTCCTCCTCCTCCTCCTCCTCCTCCTCCTGCTCCCCTGTCGCCACCACCCAACAAGTGAGAAAGCACTGTGTTGCCAAATACACCCGTCCACGTCGCCCACGATGCATCCAAGTACTAGCCTGGCTGTTCCAAGCAGCGGCGTTTCATAGTTTCCCCCGTTCACGTTAAGGACGCGTCTCTGGAAACACCCCCGCTCCAACAGCCCCGATCGGCGGAAGAACCCACACAATGTCCAGGAATAGCTTCCAGAACCTTCCAAAAGCGCCACCGAGAGACTCCCATGGAGTTCCCACGACGCCCAACAACAGACTCCCAAGAGGTCCTCCAAGGCTCCAGGACGGGTCGATCGTTCAGGGGAACACACACACATACACACACACACACACACACACACACTCACACGCACACATAACGTGGGAACCAACATGACACTTCCCTCTTCTCTCCTCCTGTGAGATTCCCTCATGTTCCCTGTTGTTGCCTCGCTCCCAACGACCTTCCCATCTCCACCTTCGTTCCTCGTTTAATGTACAGCCACATGTGCTCTCAGGTCGGGGTTCGTGGCCCTATCAGGTTGTGTGTATGCCATTGCGTGTTCCTCGGGGTATAAAGGGGGGATGCATCGACCTCGAATGGCCGATGCATCGCCCATGTCTCGTCGATGCATCGTCGATGCAGACCGCCCCATGCATCGTCTATACATCGTCGATGCATTGTCCTGATATCACCGATGCACCGTCGATGCATCGCCGGTGTATCGACCACTCGAGGCCGATGCGTCCTCCCCGTGCCCCTTCCCCCCCGAGCGTTGCCCCCGCGCCTCGCAGCTCGAGGTGCCCGTGAGCGAACGGGCAGCTGGCGCCCTTGTTGCACATCCTGGGGCAGAGCGGCCCCCCTGCCATCGCTCGGACGCCCATTCCCCGTGCATGTTGCGGCCTCGTGCGTGCTTTTGTCTGCCCGAGGATCCAGGGCGCTCCTCCAGGGTCCTCGCCGAGGAAAACATGCACACGCTCGGACGCCCACTCCCCGTGCCTGTTGCGGCCTCGTGCGTGCTTTTGTCTGCCCGAGGATCCAGGGCGCTCCTCCAGGGCCCTCGCCGAGAAAAATCAAAAAACACAAAAAAAACAAAAAAAAAAAAAAAAAAAAAAAAAAAAAAAAAAAAAAAAAAAAAAAAAAAAAAAAAAAAAAAAAAAAAAAAAAAAAAACATAAAAAACAACAACAACAACAACAACAAAAAAAAACGGCCGAGCGATGCCAGGGCACGGCAGACGCAGCGGGGGCGATCGCCCGCTCGGGGTGGGAGGCCCGACGCCCGAGGTGCTCGGGCTGCCCGCTCGGCCCTCGGCGGCGCCAGCAGCTGCGCCTCCCCGAGGGCGCTCCGAGCCTGCCCGCCCCGTCGCGGGGAGCGGCCGCTGGAAGGCCCGAGCCCTGCGATCCGACGACCGCCGAGCGGCGGAGGGGTCCCCCAGGAATCGGGTGTTGCTAGAAGTGCCCCTGGCCCAAGGTGCCCCCAGGATTGCCATGGAGGCCCCCACGGCCTCCAGAGCACCCCCCCACGAGGTCCAGAGGGCCCCAGGGGCTCCAGAATTGAGCGAAAAGCTGGGGGCACCCTGGGCCAGGGGCACCTTTAGCAACCCCCGAAGGAAGGACAGGGCAGCACGGCGGACACGGGAGCAACGGAAAGGAGCGGGCCTTACGCGAGACGGCACGGCGTGCGTGGCATACGCGGCGGCGTGCCCTCGCCGCAAGCGTGGCACGCGGCACTGAGGAACGAGGGCGCCCGCTCGCGCGCGACCTCTCGCGGGCAGCTCGTGCGCGGATGTCGGCGCAGTCGACCCCGCTGTTTTTCCGTCGCTCACGCGAGGCGTTCCAGAAATGGCCTTGCCTTCGAGGATCGAAGGAATTGACATAGGCGGCGGAAGTAAAACGGAAGCAACTTCGCTGGCGGAAGCTAGCGGAAGGCCGGAGGAAGCCGGCAGAAGGAACGGATGCCCCCCCCCCAGGAGTGTTGGCAGCTCGTTGGGGTTCAAAGTTTCTGGAACCCGCCACATGGGCGCTGGCCGAAAATTCCATCGAACCACGCGCGCACGTCGCGCTAAGTCTCTAGCACAGGCCATGGCACCGTCTTGACAACGGACTGGTGCGGCAATCACCATACCCCCGGATGCCAGTGCCGCCGCTATGGTCAGGGCGAGCAAAACACGGCGGCGGTGGGGCGAGGTGGGATTGTTTGGTCTTGGTGCCGACGACCCCCTTTCGAAGAACGTGCACAGCTCGGTCTTGTAGCAGCCCGCCCCTTTGCGTGGGCCTGGCGCAGGCGCCCCGCCATGTGGCCCCGAAACTGGCGCTCCCTTGCGTGGCGCATGTGCTCCATTTTCTGGTGCTGGCGCTGGTGCCGCCGCCGCAGGCACCTGAAGCTGGGGCAGAGATGGCATTCTCCAGCGCTACTGGCCAAGAACTGCACCCCCCGGATCCTTACGAGGACGACGACGACGACGACGACGACGACGACGACGACGACGACGACGAGACCCAGGTGGTGGTCTGCCTCCTGGCCCCAGGGCTCGACACACGAGGGTGCCCTCGCCTGGAAATCCAATACTGGAGCTTCTGCGCCAGACCCACCTGGTCGGAAGAGAAGGCCTTGCCCTTGGCGTAGCTGGCTTTGCCTTTTCCGAAGCCCTTATCGGGGAGACCTGTGCCACCTTTGGCCCAGCTCGCTTTGCCTCCTTTGAACAGGCCGTCCTCGGGAAGCTGACGCAACGCCGCAAGCGGCACCAGCGCCACCCAAGCCCACAAAAACAAAGCAGCTGTGGAGGGGCATGGTTCCCCAAACAGTGCTTCTACCTAGGGGTTCTTGCTTCTTCTTTCCCGCGGCGTAGGGCACTGCTGCGCTAGTACTCATCAGGGCCACAATGACTGATGATGGCAGAGCAGAATAGAGCCAGCGAGCCAGGTGCGAGCACAAGTTCAGCGGGAACTTTCAAGCGCACTGCATCACCCCAGCGGTGCCGGACGATACCGGGGAAGCGAACAATCGCCCCGCGATGCAGAGAGTTCTTCCTCCTCCTCCTCCTCCTCCTCCTCCTCCTCCTCCTCCTCCTCCTCCTCCTCCTCCTCCTCCTCCTCCTCCTCCTAGTAAGCGCGTGGGTCTGGCGGGGTTCGCTTCCGTCGCCGGCCCGTGGGCGCGCGTACGCCCTGAGCGCTGGCCCGTTCTAGCGGATCATCACTCCGTCGCCGCCCGTGGGAGCCTCGTGCGCTGGCTGGGTCTGGCGGGGTTTCGCCCTGTCGCTGGGCGTGGGAGCCGCGTGCCTGGTGCGCCAGCTGGGTCTGGCAGGCTTCCGCTCCGTCGCCGTCCGTGGGAGCCTCGTGGTCGCCACACAGATTACTCCGCATAGCTTGCACCGCATAGTTTGCACCACAGAGCTTGCACCATGCAGTTTGCACGACAGAGCCTCCACCACATAGACTACATCCACATGTTTTACACCACACCTATTGTACAACATAGCTTACACACCATGCAGCTTGCACCACATGGCCAGTACCACATAGCTCACACCAGGTTGATTGCACCACTCAGCTTGCAACACGTAGCTTCCACGGCACCACGCAGCTTGCAACGCACAGCTTACACATCCAGAGCGCAAGGAGCCACCGATTGGAGCCCACGCTGGCGAACAGGTGGCACTATACCGATCGGACCCGGCAGGCATCCTGCCCCCTCCCACGGCGCAGCTTCTCGCGGGCAGGGGCCAAGGCGGGGAGCGGTCGCCCCGGCGCAGGAGGGCGCCAGCTGCACGCCTGCACCGATCCGGGGCCCGGGCCCGCCCCGGGCCCAGGCTCGGCCCGGGCCCAGGCTCGGCGTGCGGGCGTGAAGCCGAAGCCCTCCGACAGCGGCGCAGCAGTCAACGCTCGTGGAGACAGGCGGCCAGCGAGAGAGAGACGACGACGACGACGCCGCCGCCGCCGCCGCCGCCGACGACGACGACGACGACGACGACGACGACGACGACGACGACGACGCCGCCGCCGCCGCCGCCGCCGCCGCCGCCGCCGCCGACGATGACAACGACGACGACGCCGACGCCGCCGCCGACGACGCTCGTGGAGACAGACGGCCAACACTCACAGCGGCGCGCAGCCCGACGCGCGGGCAGGGCGGGCCTCGCGCGGCCCGACGCACGCTGGGGCACGGGGGCAGGGGAGCCTGCAGAGGATCGGCCGAGCGCCAGACGGCGCTCCCGCAGGCGCACCACCAGCGCGGCCTCGGTGGCGAGCTCGAGGGAGCGCCGTGAGCTCGAGCGGGGCCAGGGTGGGCTCGAGATGCCCTCGCCCGAGATGCCTCGTGGCGCCCACTCGGAGGAAGCATCTGGAGCTGACCCTGGCCCTGGCTCTGGCGGCGAGGTCCTGGCACGAAACGAGAGACTGCGCGCTGCAACATGCGGAAGGATCGGCAGCTCGTCGGCTGAAGGAAGCCTGACAACAACAAACGTAAAGTAAAACGAACAAAATCCATTGTCTTTGCAACGTGACGTTGCTCTGAGTCCCCAATTTCATCCCCTCCCTTCCAATTACAATGGCAACAACTGGCGCTCAGAAAGCCCAAGAGCGCCCATCAAATGCACGAAGTAGTGGTGGGCTATGGCGCACAGACTACCCTTCGCAGAGCAATACCTCGGAGATGCTTGTGTGGAAATTTAGGCACTATCCTCTGGTGTCGCGGAAATATGCCTTTCCCACACTACCGAATAATACATGAGCATGGTAGACACACAGCAGCAAACCACCCTACACAGTTATCGAAATGCCCGCGAAGCACGTCTAAAACATGCTTGCGAAGCACTCACTGTTGCACTGTCCAGCCCCGAGCGCACAGCTGCACGTGCAGCGCTCACGCGAGATGCTTCCATGCATGTCACATACAACACATAACACCCCCAACACAGAGACGGCAGGCAGCACTCACCGCACACGAAGCCGTAGCCCTTGGCCAGCGCACAGTGCAATCCCCTGCTACGTGCACAAGGCTGCTAAGACTGCGCTTTACCTTTCTTCAGCGAGATCCTGCAAATCTCGGGTCGGGCGAAAGGGGGGGATAGCAAAGGGGGGGGGTGAGAATCAGCTCGCGTAGCTGATTTTCCCGGCGCCTCCCGGCGCCGGAGGCGGCTATGTATCGAGGAATGGGCCCCTCGGTGAGGCCGAAACCAGCTGCATGCAGCAAATTTCGTAACCCCCCCTTTCCCAATCCCCCCCTTTCGCCCAGCCCGAAAATCTTGTAATGGTACTTTCTTGCTTCACTGCATGCAGACGAGATCATGCCAAAAGATAGCTTGCGCGCAGACTCCTTCGCATTGCCTTTCCCTTTGTCGAAGTTCTTGCCGTACGCTCCCTTCTCTGGGCGCCAAGGCTCTTTGCCCTTTCCTCCTCCAGCTGCTTCCGGGAACGGCTGGGTGAAGCCGAAGTGCATCTGCACAACAGCCGTCGGTGGCACAGCCACGTCCTCTGGGCTTCGGCGGATGTTCATGAGGGGACCACTCGACTCTGCCCGAAGGCTCGGTCTTCTCAGTAATAAACCTCTGGCCTCCCGAAGCGTGGGTATAGAGCCATTGTTGAAGAAATGTACCTTCAGGTGGCCTGCAGACGAGGCCCCGTGGGCGACGCTTCCGGTTCATGTCCCCTGGCGGGGCACGGCAAACCTAGGCCCCCGACTTGGCAACCACGTGTGAACCCCTGCCCCTTCAGCTCAGAGCTCTGTAACACCGGCCGGGGTGCACAATTTGAAGGACGTCTGCAGCCAGGGGGTATCCCTTACCCCAGCGTCGATCGGACCCGCAGGGGCAGAAGGGCTCGCAAGCGGTCGCAGACGACATCACACAACGCCCGCCGTCCCGAGAGCTCGCCGGGAGTGCGCCTGGCCACCGGCCCTTCAGAACGATGCACACCAGCTCAGAGAAAGGTGCCTCAAGGTGGCCCTGCAGACGAAGCTGTTGGCGGCGCCGCCGGCCCGTCTCCCCCGGCGAGGTACGACAAACCCAGACCCCGACGGCTTCATGAAGCGCCCGCCTCCCTGAGAGCCTGCGAGGAGTGCGCCCGGCCACCAGCCCGTCGGAGCGATGCACGCCGGGCTGGAGAGAGGCGCGTCCAGGTGGCCTGCAGACGAGGCTCCGATCCATCAACTCCGACCCGACGAGGCACGACAAGCCCAGCCCCCCGACGACAGCACGAGGCGCACGCCGCCCCGAGAGCTCGCGAGGGGTGCGCCCGGCCACTGGTCCTTCGGGACGATGCACACCTGAGGGGCGACGAAGGAGGAGGGCTGGCATGGTGGGGGAATCTCGACCTGGAATCGACGATACATCTCCGATAGCTCGGCGAGAAGCCCCCGATGGCGAATCCGCGCGTGCCTGGGCAGGTTGGGGCTATCGGGCCCCTGTCGGCAATGAGTGGGCGATAGGGCGCCGATGCATCCCCCGCGGAGCCTGTCCCCCCTTATCGCTGCCCCTGCACACCGGGTGGCCGCTCGCGCTGCACTTGCGCAGGAGGCCCTCCGGGTCCACCACGGGCGGCACCTGGTGCTCCGTCCGCAGCCAGAGGGCGCGCCGGCCGCTGTCCGCGGGGCCGAGGCTCTTCAGCCTGGGCGGAGGGGCCAAAGATCCCTGAGGTCCGACACTGCGAAGCAGATGCTAAAACAACTTTTGCTTAGCGTGACGCGGCGGCTGCCCTGGCGGCACGCCATGCCCTGCGAGCGGAGAGCGTGTCGCTCCGCTCCGCGGGGCGGGAAGCTCGGGAAGGCTCGAGGCGCAGCGCGTCGCTCCGAAGCGTGGCTGGCCAGAGCTGGCGGAGCGACACGCTCTCCAAAAGTTTGCGGCCGTGCAACGTCGCGAAAAATCACAGCCAGAGCCCCAGCCCCAGTCGTTCTGCGGAATTCTTCGAGCCGGATCAATCTGTGATGGCCCCAGGGCCCGAAGCCAGGCGAAACCGTCTGGCGTGAAAGAGTTGCGTCGCCCCGATCTCAGGGAACGAGGCCGCCTGGTGAATCGCCCCAGAGTCGGCGCGGTACCTTGCCTCTGAGTGTCCGTGTCTCGCGGCCCCTCGCAGGACCCTCTCAGGTCCGTCAGGTGCCGCCGTTGGCACCCGATCGCGCACCACTGCTGAGAAAACACACAGTGACACTCCCCAGATCTCTCCCAGGGACACATTTTGACAAGAATTTCGAGGAGACCCCAGCCGTACTGACGAGGGCTCTCCAGGACGAGCAGCGGTATCAGCATCTCGTCCTCCTCCTCCTCCTCCTCCTCCTACTCCTCCTCCTCCTCCTCCTCCTCCTCATCCGCCTCCTCCCCCGCCTCCTCCTCCTCCTTCTCTTCCTCCTCCTCCTCCTCCTCCTCCTCCGCCTCTCCCTCCTCCTCCTCCTCCTCCTCCTCCTCCTCCTCCTCCTCCTCCTCCTCCTCCTCTCTCATCATCATCCAACATCATCATCATCATCATCATCATCATCATCATCATCATCATCATCATCATCATCATCATCATCATCATCATCATCATCATCATCATCATCATCATCATCATCATCATCATCATCATCATCATCGCACATCATCATCATCATCATCATCATCATCATCATCATCATCATTCATCATCATCATCATCATCATCATCATCATCATCATCATCATCATCATCATCATCATCATCATCATCATCATCATCATCATCATCATCATCATCATCATCCTCTGAGCGTGCCCTGCACGGCGGGTGCCCTCAGCCTGCCGCCGGTTTTCAAAGGTCTCTGGCACATGGCCCCCTCGTGCGCCCCCCGTGAAGAGGAGGAGAAGGAGGAGGAGGAGGCGGAGGAGGAAGGAGGAGGAGGAGGAGGAGGAGGAGTGAGAGAAGAAGGAGGAAGAGATGGAGGAGAAAAGGAAACGAAGGAGAAGGAAGGGCAAGTGGGAGCTGGGACAGGGGCAAGGAGCGAACTAGGTTTCCAGCTCGCACGTCGTCCCTCCGTTCAATGCTCGGATCTTGGGACCCAGAGCGTTCGTCAGGAAGGACAGATGGAGGAGGTCCAGCAGGAGGAGGAGGAGAAGGAAGAGGGAGGAGGAGGAGGAGGAGGAGGAGGAGGAGGAAGAGGAGGAAGAGGAGGAGGGAGGAGGAGGAGGAGGAGGAGGAGGCAGAGGGAGGAGGAGGGGAGGAGGAGGAGGAGAAGGAGACGAGGAGGACGAGGGCGGAGGGAGGAGAAGGAGGAGGCAGGGCGTAGGAGGAGGAGGACGACTAGTGGCCAGGGAGGAGGAGGGCGAAGACAAGTGCAGTATGAGCGAGGAGAGGAAGGAGGAGGCGGCGAGGAGTACGGCACCGGGGGGGCCGCTCCGCGGGTAGCCGCCGCAAGTGTGCGCGGCCCTGATCAGCGTCTCCACGCCAGAGGCGGTGAAGGCGTTGCCGCTAAGGTGCAGCTGCATCACTGGCAGGCCGTCCGCTGCCGCGCGCTGAATGTGCTCCTCGGGGGTCCAGTTTCTGCTCCTCCTTTTGGCATCCTCCTTCTCCTTCTCCTTCTGCTTCTCCTTCTGCTCCTCCTCCTCCTCCTCCTCCTCCTCCTCCTCCACCTCCTCCTCCTCCTCCTGCTCCTCCTCCTTCCTCGTCTTCCTGCTCCTCCACTCCCCATCCTCCTCCACTTGTCCTCCTCCTCCTGCTCTGTTCCTCCTCCTGTTCTTGTCCACCTCCTCCTGTTCTTGTCCTCCTCCTTCTCCTCCTCCTCCTCCTCCTCCTCCTCCGCCCTCCTGCTGCTGCCTACCGCCTCCTCCTCATCCTCCTCCCCCCTCCTCCTCCAACTCCATCCTCCTCCTCCCTCCTCCCTCCTCCTCCTCCTCCTCCGCCTCCTCCTCCTCCTCCTACGTCCTCCACCTCCTCCTCCTCCTCCTCAATCCTCTCCTCCTCCTCCTCCTCCTCCTTCCCCTCCTCCTCCTCCCTCCAACATTATTATTATCATCATCACATCATCATCAACATCATCACATCATCATCATCATCATCATCATCATCCTCATCATCATCATCATCATCATCATCATCATCAGCAGCATCATCAGCATCATCAGCATCACATCAACATCCACCATCATCATCATCATCACAGCCTCATCATCATCATCATCATCCCATCCGCAGCAACATAATCAGCACATCATCATCACATACCCCATCACACAAGCATCAGCACAGCATCACATCATCATCATCATCAGCAGCATCATCATCGTCATTATCATGATCATTATCATAATCAACAGCATCCGTCTTCCTAATCCTCAGCATCAGCACCAGCAGCAGCATCAACATCAGCATCATCACCATGAGCATCAGCATCATCGTCCACCTCGTCCTCCTCCTCCTCCTCCTCCGCCAACTCCTCCTCCTCATCCTCCTCTTCCTCCTCCTCCTACCTCCTCTTCCTCCTCCTCCTCGTCCCCTCCGTCCTTCCTCCTCCTCGTCCTCCTCCTTTATCCTGTCCTCCTTCTCTTGTCCTCTTCCTGCTCCTCCTCCTAATCCTCCTCCTCATCCTCCTCGTCTTCCTCCTCCTCTTGGCCTCCTTCTATTGTCCTCGTTCTCCTCCTCCCCCTTCCCCATGTCCTCTTTATCCTCCTCCTACTCCACCTCCTCCTCCTCATTCTCCTCTTCTTCATCATCATCATCATCATCATCATCATCATCATCATCATCATCATCATCATCAGCATCATCATCCGCATCATCATCATCAGCATCAGCATCAGCATCAGCATCATCATAATCATCAGCATCGTCATCAGCATCATCAGCATCAGCAGCAGCATCAGCATCACAATCATCCTCATCCTCAGCGTCATCATCAGTATCACCATCAGCACCATCATCAGCATCAACATCAGCATCAGCATTTTTATCCTCGTCGTCATCATCATCATCATCATCATCATCATCATCATCATCATCATCATCATCATCATCATCATCATCCTCATCATCATCATTAGCAGCGTCCTCATCAGCATCATCATCAGCGTCAGTATCATCATCAGCATCATCAGCATCATCAGCATCATCAGCATCATCATCAGCAGCATCAGCATCAGCATCAGCATCATCATCATCATCAGCATCAGCATCATCATCATCATCATCATAATCATCATCATCAATATCATCATCAGCATCATCAGCAGCAGCATCGTCATCAGCATCATCGTCATCGTCATCGTCATCGACATCGACATCGTCATCGTCATCATGATCATCATCATCATCATCATCAGCATCAGCATCAGCGGCAGCATCAGCATCATCATCATCATCATCATCATCAGCATCATCATCATAATCAGCATCATAAGCAGCAGCATCATCATCATTATAATCATCCTCGTGTCCTCGAGTCCTCGTGTCCCCGTTTCCTCCTCCTCCTCTTCCTCCTCCTCTTCCTACAACTACTACTACTACTACTACTACTGCTGCTGCTGCTGCTACTACTACTACTACTACTACTACTACTACTACTACTACTACTACTACTACTACTACTACTACTACTACTACTACTACTAACTACTAACTACTAACTACTAACTACTACTACTACTACTACTACTACTACTACTACTACTACTACTACTACTACTACTACTACTACTACTACTACTACTACTACACTACTACTACACTACTACTACTACTACTACTACTACTACTACTACTACTACTACTACTACTACTACTACTACTACGACTACTACTACTACT